GGATATTTGACGAAACTATATACAGTCGACCTCTATTAAGCGGTCACCCACGGGACTTAGCCAAGTGACCGCTTAATAGAGGTTGACCGCTTGATAGAGGTTTTACTTATTTAGGCCACATTTTGCAGAAAATTAACAAAAGAGTGCATAATTGATCACGAAATGTACATTTTATTCTTAGAAAACAGTAACACTAGAAAATAGAGCAATAAAGTGCAAAATTGCTCACTCAAAATATTTTTTTTCGTCGCAAACTGAAGAACAACATTGCATGACTACGTCTACTTGCTATAAAAAAAATCACAAAATTCACATCGCTGGTGTAAACATGATTTGTTTAAGGTACAGTACAGTATTATGAAAAAAACTCAGTTATGGTTGTTTGTAATTTAGGGGCAGACAACTTAAGTTCATGAAACATGTCGTTCACTTTGCTAAGCGCTAGCGACAGTTCTTCGTGACCATGGAATTGCGCGAAGTGGAAATTGGCCAAAATAAACTGGCTAGTGCTGCGGATTTGCTTTATATACAGTGACGTAAAATACGAACATCTGTTATTGAAGTTATGCTATCTAAACAACTGTTAAAAGAATGTTGACATGTTTTATGTATTTGGTGTCATAATACATCAATGTGTAATCAGTAGGTGACCGCTTAATAAAGGTTAAATACAATGCAAGTTTACAAATTGGTACGTTGATATGGTGACCGCGTCCGCTTAATAGAGGTGACCGCTTAATAGGGGTCAAGTTTACAGTATACATGAGAGAGAAAATTTGGGACTTTAGTAAGTGACCGTTGAATAGAGGGTGACCGCTTAATAGAGTGCCGCTTAATAGAGGTTCGACTGTAGTAGCCAGACAACTTAACATTAACTGAATCATATCACATATCTGACTCCTTTATATGTTGTCACGAAATCTCCTAATTGCGAAGAAAAACCATCAAAAACTTCATATTTTTATTCATCTTACTCCATAAAGGACAAAAATAATAGATTATCTATACAATTCGAGAAAAATAATCTTATATAGGATAGGAAAACGTTAGTTTTAGATTTCGTGCAGAAGGGTTGTTTACCATTAGCAGGGCTGTCAACCCCCAAGGTATTCAAATCTGGAGAATTGATAGGGTAGGGACATGACGTCACAGCGGAAAAAAGCGCGCGAAAAAGACGTCATTCACTTTGTAACATTTGATGTGATTGGTTTATTTTTGACCAATCAGATTATCGCTTATATTACAATGGCCTGCTTGCGAGAACAGTTTATGAGGAATGTTTTGATTTTGTTAGCGATGTAAAATAACAAAAACAACACAAAAATAATTGAAATTTTATAGTTGTGAAAGTCGAATCTAGATATGGTCAGCTTCGGCGATTATCCGGGAGATTTGAGACTCTAATCTGGAGACCGGGAGATACGGTCCAAAATCTGGAGACTCCCGGCTTATCCGGGAGAGTTGACAGCCCTGCATTAGTGTTGACGGTGTCTGGAAATGGTAAGATTTAATAATGCATGGTTTGGAAATTACATTTGGCGTTGACCAGCAAAAAATTACAGAAATGTTTGTAACCCACAAGGTTTTGGAAACTGTTCATTAGGATTTTACGAAAGAAATAAACAGAAATGCGAGGGGAAAAAAGAAAAATTGTCAACAGATCTGATTTATAAGTAAATCTTTCAACGTTGACAGATTAATAGGAAAAAAACAATAATATACAAATATTGTATTCAAAATTTAAAAAATAGTCAAATAAATCGTAATATCATTAACCCTGTAAAAGCATACTCAAAGCGTTTCAAAAGTGCGGGTAGAAAATTCAAGGTGGAAAATTGCATGGAGAAAAGTGAAAAAACATTTCAAAAACGTAAACTAAAACGAATTTGAATGTTAGACAAATCTTTCAACAGCTGTGATAAATGAAACTTCTGACTGGAAATGTTATTCCAGTTACAAACAATGACACTTGCGAGTCTTCATTTGCACTCATAATAAAAAGACATTAGTAAAAAATATTCTACAGGTTTTCAGTTAGATTTAGGGTGCAAACGTAGACAGATATAGCCCAGACAATGTGATCTTGACACGCGTTTATAACAGCAGGGTTCTCTTAACAGCCGGCTTGCTACTAGGAATTGCCTTCGTTACAAAAACCTTAGGCCGATTTAAAAAAAAAATTTTTATTACTATTATTTTTTAAAAGACTTCACATTGGGTTTAGGATATTTCTATAAGGAAACATTTACTGACAAATAGTTGATTTGAATTCAATAGCTCGAACTTTAATGCATCATGGGCCTTTGAAAACCTGCTCTTTGAATCGTTCGCGCGTGAGATTTTTGACTGGGACCATAATACTCTATTACAGCACGTCCCCAAGCTAAAAAAAAAGCTAACGACACACCCATGCATCATCCATGCCGCTCAAGTATGTTCCGATTTCCAATTTGTTTTCAAGCTCTGGGATAACCATGATAGACTTAACAATTCCGCAGGTAATAATGATTTCATAATCAAAAACTAACACCCTGCTATGGATGGAAATAACATCGAGACAACCGACCCTCATTTTAGTCTACATTACGTCCGGATAAATAATTATTTTGAATTCATTTTATTGATATTTTGACTTTTATTTATCTAGATTTTTAAAGATTAACTTGAATACTGCGTTTTATGCTGGCGGAAATTTGTCTACTCAACTTTCTGATACATATTATTTTGGAAGTGTCTAGATACCCGGGACCCGGGAACGATTTTCAAAATACTAGATACCCGGGAGTTTTTA